GAAAGAGACCCAGCAACGCTTCAGAAGAATCGGCTTTCAGAAATCAGAAGAAAAAAAAGAGGAAAGTGGGCTTTCATCTTCATTTAGAAATGAATACTGCAGTTTGGACAAGTGGGCGTGCTCTGAGTCTGTCTTATGGGTTCAAGATTATGTGAGCAGGATACACGTAGACTGGACCACAAGTGTGTTGCCCCCCTTGCCGGAAAACATGCTTTTTGCCACAGACATGCATGGATCCATTAAGCATCGTCGTAAGGTAGAGGGCTGTGGGATTTTATTTTATTTTTTTTAATAAACGGATCGTGTGCCTGGGACAAACGCTGTCAAAGGGACAGCCAACCCAGAGGAAAGCTTCATGTTCTTTCTGGGTGGGAACTTGATTAGGATATGCTAGGTATTTAATGGCAGCCGAATACCAAATGCAGAGCTCAGGAAAGCAATCCAGGCAGGCAGGTGCGCTAAAAGAAGGAACTCTCTGTTCCAAAGCAGTACTTGATCTGGCACTTGATTTTTACAGAGCCATTGGGAGCTTTCAATGCAGACATTTATTTCTGTGCACAGATAAGCATCCCAGCGGTTCAATGAGGGTCAGATTAGCATTGCGCTAGATAGAGCAGGGGTGGGGAACCTTGGCTCTTTTATGACTTGTGGACCAACTCCCAGAATTCCTGAGTCAATCCTGGGAGTTGAAGTCCACAAGTCATAAAAGAGCCAAGGTTCCCCACCCCTGCACTAGAGGGACAGAAATATTGGGGGCACATCCCCCACTCACCCTAAACATTTCCCCACTCACTGGCCACATGGAGGTTTAAGGTTTCACTACGGCTACAAAATACAGGAATGTGCACATCTGCTTAAAAGTCAAGTTTCCTGAATTTATGGGAATTGCCTTCTTGGTGAAGACTGCTCTCTTAATCATAATTGAATTTTACCGAGTTGTAATCCTGAATTTCTTTGCTTCCCCCCCCCCCCTAAGTGCTGGAGGGAAGAAACAAAATTTAGAAAGCTAGGATACTTCTCATTTCATAAACGGGGCAAAACAAACTTGGTAGCTAATTAACTAAACTGCTTTGATCTCCCAAATTAGCTTGGGTTCAAAGAAAATTCCCCTTAGATTGCAGCACAGAGCTTTGGGAGAGATGCCTTCGGAGGGCTGCTGTGTTTTACAACTTGAAAACAGTGACAAACTACGTCTAAAGGTCTGTTTTAAAGTCCCGATTTGCTAATTTTATTTACTTATTAATCAATTATCTTAATGTTTTTTTTAAATATATAATTTAATTAATTTTAATATGTTCCTACTATTTAAGGAAACGGTAACCCTGATTTTAATTATTACACCTGAATACCTGAGCCATGAAAGGGCTGGAAAGCTAATTCATGTTTTCATTACCTGCTTGACATTTACAGCAAAGGCAACATAACATGGTTAAGCCTAATCCTTGGTGTTCATTTTCTAACAGGTTTCCGGATAAGAGTTTAGGACTAGGGACTTTTTAATTTTATTTTTTGATTACTGCTACATTTAAAAATGGCCTCACTCTAACGGCTCTACAAGCACAGACTAAATTTTAATTTAAACCTATCAAGATTCTTAGTTGCCATCATCAAATGCCTAAATATCTAGCATATTTCCCACTCCAATCTAAAATAGGTAGGGGCAGGGGTGCTTGGAGGTGACTGAACTTAAGTCTATTAACACAAACCAGGAGAATCTTAAGTGTAAACTCATTCATTTGTAGGAATCAAACTAAAGGCTCAGGAGACCCCTTCATTTTATCTTTAAAAAAAAACACGGGTTTCACTAACCACCCACTGTTAGTTGTTTTAGTAAGATCTTGGGGGGGGGGGAATTTGAACAAGCAGCTATAAATCCTAATGTACCATGAATCCTATCAAAACAAGATTTCTACAGATCTCACTCACTCACTCTAAGAAAGCGTCCCAAGAAAATTTCAAAGGATGCCTTGCCTCAACCTGGTGTCTTCCAGATGTGAAGCTATGCTTTAACCCACATGGAATTTTGTAAGAAGAGGTCCTAGGGGGTTAAAGAAAGAAAATTCAAGGCAATGAGTTTCTCTGCTATATCCTTTCTAAACAGCTGCTCAAAAAAAAAATATGGGGTGGGGGAAGGCAGGAGAGTGGCCTGTTAAGGACCAGGTGCACCCCAATGTAGTCTGAGGTTGCAGCCCATATTTGGAGCACATCTGGAATCAATTTCTCAAGTAGAATCCTTTTACAGCTTGTATTTATTCTGGCTGCAGATGTGAGGTGTTTCAAAGTTTCCCTGTAGTTTGGCATGTGAGCACTGCAGGCAAGTAAGACAGGGAAGGGTGGGTGGGTATAAACCCCGACCTATCTGGGAAGTTCCTTTATTAGTCCCTCAGAGACTGTGTGCTCCTCTGCCTTTGCCTCCCAAATAGGGACAGTTGGAACCAGAATCTCAGTTGCTGTAATTTTTGGTTTTGTTTTGTTTCTCTAGCCATCCCAACCCTCTTTGGGACCCGACTCTGCAAAACTCCATTTGGCTACGGATGAGGCCCATCGAAGATCACATAACATAAAGATGAAGGCAAGCTTGCATGCCCCAAAAAAGGCACTTCAGTTTCTCTCAGCACTAGGGGGAGGGGTGTGTGTGTGTGTGTGTGGATGGGTGGGTGATTATGCCAACCAAGAGGGTCTGGCCAGGCCAGAGAAAGGGGCACCAAACGTAGCCAGCCTTTGGATCCACTGGGCTCCTGCACTGTCAGTCTTGCCTCTCTTTTCTGGGGGGGGGGCATCACAGTTGTGTCTCCTGCCTGTGGGTCGTCCCTTCTCATGAGCAATGCGGGAAGGTATCGAAACTAGCCTGACTGAAGGATTATGAGGATGGGGTGAACTGAACCCTCCCCAAATCTCCAACAGGAAGTCAACCTGCTCTTGCTGGGTCAGGACCATGCTTTAAAAATGGCTTAAGACAACAAAAGGGCCCTGAGCAGTGCACAAGTCCAATTACACCGATATATTAATGCCACCTCCTCCAGTGCCACCCTACCACAGCTCTGCCTCCCCTCCCTCAAAGACATGGATGGTACACACACACAAACCAAGACGGATAGGGACACATGCACACATACTCTTGCTTTCCTAGACTCACGTGACACCCGTATGGCCTCCGCCATTGCTCCTTCCTGATTGTCAGCTGCATAAGAGCCATTTCTTCAAAGGAAGGGGCCAGCAGGGAGGAGGGAGAGGAGAGAAAAAGGGGACAAGGTGATCACAGCCCATGGGGGGGGGGGAAACAACAGGATGGAAGGGTCAGCTACATGCCAGCTGGGCTGGGGGGGGTGACTTTATGGTGGAAGAGAGGATGACTTTTAGCACCATCTGGTTGGGGCAGAGGGGAAGGGGACATGCAAGAGGTGTCTAAAGCACTTCAGGAGGCCCTGCAGGGAAACACAAGGTAGGAAAGGCTGAATTATTGCACATAGTCTCCTCCTATTGCAAATCTCAGGGGGCGGCCAGCAATCAAGGGCTGGGGGAGGAAGGGATAACGTGCATAGTAACTAGGATCTCTGGAGAGGGGGGGGAGCGGGGAGCTGGAACATCCCCTGGCAAGGTGCTTGATGCTCCTTGGTGGCTTGGTTCACAGCAATTGGGACGGGCTTCCTGCAGTCCCCACCAGTCGGAAGGAGAAGCACCTGTTCCCAGCTGAGTTGGTCGAGAGAACGGACGGACGCACTGTGGACCTGGGCTTGGCAGGCATGCAGGAACTGGGGGGCGGAAGGGGGGGGGCTTACGGCAGCACAGTCCAGACCGCAGGCAGCAGAAGGCACTGTGTGTGTGTGTGTGTGTGTGTTTGTGTATCCTGGGGATGGGGACGGGGGGCGAAGCACTGCTGCTGGCAACGTGTCCATTCAACGTCCGAGAGTCCAGAGGTGATGACGCATCACTGGCGGCAGATTCCTTAGTCCATTTATTGTTCCCCTGGTCCAGGGCAGGACGGGGCAGACGAAAGGGGGGGGAGGCCTCCCCGTGGAAGCAAAGACGGGTCTGCACAGAAGCTCAAATCAGAGTCCAAAACATCCAGCAAAAAACAGTCCAATTGGACAGAGGGCAGAAATTGAGGTCTGGCGCAAACTCTGTTTTTCTCTCTCTCTCTCAGCTGAGGCAAAATTTATGCCAAAAAAAAAACACAAAAAGATTTAAGTTCATCGGATGCCTCCAGCCGCATCATTTCATTCCAACTTGACAAGCATTAAGCAAACCCCTCTTGCTGCCGCCAAAGTTCAACTTTTTTTTTTAAGATTTCCTTTTTTCTGAATTTTTTTTTTGTAAATTTCCTCTTTTTTATTTTTTTGTAAATTTGTCTTTTTTAGAAAAAAAAAATACCCTCTTGAAATAATAAAATAATCCTTTCAAAGCAAAATTCCCACCCCGCTCCCACCCCAAGGAAGAAGAAGAAGAAGAAAAAAAAAGAGAGAACTCCGCACTGATTTTTATCCTACAGCTGCGAGGTGGGGCTTTTCAGAGCATTTTTTTTCCTTATAAAACAACAACAAAAAAAAATATTCAAACACTTTTGCATATTTGTCCTTTAAAAAATCTTTTACATGACCAAAGAAAACAAAATGAATTCAAAGGAGCAAAAAAAAAAAAAAACCTTCCTCCCAGAGGTACCAAACCAGCTTTCCAAAAGAAGGGGGGAAAAAAAATTCCTTTTCTTCTCTGAGGAATTCTGGGGCATCCAAAGCGTTTGACTTTGCTGTTATCAAGAAAATAAACACGCACGCACACACGCACGCACACGCGCACACATACACACACAAATGTTCTCGTATTAAAATAGTCCTTAGTCCATCTGTACATCTAAGGGTTGGGGGTATTTTTTTTTTTTTGTACCCCCATTCTAACCTCCTTTGGTTCCTCGGTGACAAAAGTCTATTGCGGTTATTTCCTTTTTTAAAAAAACAAAACAACCTTTTTCTTTGCCAAAAAGAAAAAGAAGAAAAAAAGAAACAAAAAACAAAAATGGTTCCAACATCTTCTAAACGCAGCACAAAATTTTAACAACAACAAAAAAAAATAAAAATAAAGAACACGTTGTCTCCCTCGAAGTGATTGCTCAGAGTTGAGCTGCTCGGTGGCACTAAAGGGATGAAAAATGGCGGGAATTACGAGAGCAGGCAACAAAGACATCCGTGGAGGTAGTGTGTGTGTGTGTGTGTGTGGCACACAAAGTAGTAAGCAAGAAGAGAAACCGTCTCAGTCCCAAGCCTTCCTCCTTCAGCCTCTCTTCCCCCCCTCCCCACTTTTGGCAACTGCCCTGGTGTCCAATGTGTTAGGAAGCATTTGAAGAATCGATCTGAGCACACGCAACCTTCTCAGCCACTTGGCCTCAACCTTCAGCTGCTTACCTATGTGGGAGAAGAAGGCCTTTGGGCTGAAGGGTTAGGTCTGAATTAGTTAGGGCAACTCCACCCTGAACAGTTGCTCCAGGAAGCCTTGCCCTGCCTTTCCTGCAGCGAACAAAGGAGACGCCGTTCTGAGACACAGAACATGGGCCTCCTTCAAGTGTTCACTGTGGGAAATGTTGAGGTCACACCAGGAGCTCCTTCAAAAAAGGTCATTCTGAGAGTTGGCCTCAGAATTCCAAGCGAAGAGAGTCACATTAGCCTGCTTGGGAGAACAAACAAGTGTGTTTTGTGACACCTTGAAGATCAATATATAATATAGGTCTCATTGAACATGCAAAAGGTTCAGCAGGGGATCTTCACTTGTCCCTGAAGGTCACATACCCTTCAAGTCCCTGATGAAGAGATCACTTGGTCACAAATTGCCAGGCTAGGCAAAGGGGAGAATCCTTATTAGTCTCATTGACATTCCACTCTCTGCTCACTCAGTTTGCAGTTGTGCCCAACGTCCATATCTGAGGGTCCTGATAGAAAAAAGCTGAAGCCAACACAGAAACTGGGCCTGTTCCTGGGACAAGAAGTAGATTCTGCCTCCTAGGTCAGTGAGACGTTTGATCCTTCTTCATTCTCAGAACTCAGGAGGTAGGACAGCCTCCACCAACCTAGGTGACCTCCAGATGTGAAGACTTCAACTCCCAGAATGCCCCAGTCACCGCAGCTACTGCTATGAATTCTGGGAACAAAGGCCACACCCACGAACGTCCAGCTCATTGCAGAAATGCTCTGTGGAACATGATGTGGAGACCCAATCTTGGCTTCCTGTTTTCCTTATTTAGGAGTAACGGAGTAGTTCAGCCTCCTGTCAGTCCTTAAAAGCGTCTCAAAACCCTTTTTATTCCTCTTTTAAATTAAGCAGCAGGAAGACGCACAGGGCGCCGCTACAAGCCTTGCGCTTGGCAACTCTCTTTTCTTCTTTTTAGAAATTAAACCCTGCTTAAGCACAAGTCCACAAACCGGTTTCCTGCAGTTACTTAAATCACATGGGGTGGGTTTTGATTTTGGGGAGGGGAGGGAGTGTTGTTTAATTTCCAAGCCACATTTGCTGCCCCTCCACAATAAAGGGCAGGGAGGGGAGGACCCCGGATCTCATTTTCCAATTGGCCAAGACTGAATGCTGTAACAAGTCACACACACCCCCATGACTCATTCACAGTTCTCCTCAGTGGCCCAGTTCTCAAGCGCCATGCTGACCTCTTTTAAGGAAGCTTCCTGGCATGTGGATAAGACAAACAGAGCTAAATCCAAGTTTCTGGAGTTGCTGGAGAAAATACCTTCAATGGACTCCTAACTCTTGCTCTCTTTCTTTCCCTTGCACCTCTCTTCCTCCTTTTGGGAGGAGAGAAAAGGGGGGGTGAATCTACCCAGATTGCTCAAATGACCCTGAGAGGGACCCCCCTGTGATCAAGGGCCATTGCCCAAGGCACCAGGCATGAGCTCCAAACTCAGTTATTTTTTCCGGAACTGGCAAAGGATCGTGTAAACGAAAAGAACGGAGCTATCTCTGGGAGAAGAAGACTAATATATATATATATATGCCAGTCCCTCCCCTCCTGTCCTTACCTGTTGTTACTTGTTGTACTGATACGAGTAGGCAGCATGATCCGATGGAGACTCCACTGTCACGTGGCTCTGCTGGCCACTGTTCTCCTGTGACAAAATACCCATTGGGGGAATTGGGATGGTAGCCATATCTTCCCCAAACCTTTCAGCCCCACTAAGATGAGCAAGGTCAAATTGCCACGTGGCTGGGTAGGGAATCAGACCTCTCCACTTCCCTCATTAAGAGCTCAGCAGCTGGCCACGTGCCTTTCCCACCAACAGGAAACTGGTCTCCAGAGACGCCTCATCTTACCCACCACACGGACTCGGATCCCCAACCCTGTGATGGGACTTGGAGGCTTCCCCGGTGTTGCTTTTTATGCTCGGCACTGAAAGACTCTATGGGTCTGGGAAGAAAAAGCATTCAAGGGCCTCTGTGGGAAGACACCAGTGTGTAGAAGCAAGAGCTCATTTCGGAATAGGACCTATTAAAGATTAGTGGCTAATCAGCTTCCCAGAGTAATTTAAGCTAGTTTGGTAAACTTCATTATCGAAGCATGTATGCCATAGCTCCTATCGACAATTGGGGGCGGGGTGTGTGAAGAAGACAAAAGTCATGGCAAGGGTGTCAGTGGAATATGGAATCCTCTTCCATCTATGGGGTACCATTTCAAAAATCTATAAAACATGCTCTGGATTTCCACCCATCATCTTACCCTCAGTTAACCTGCTCCTTTTTATTGGAAACACACAACACCAAAACGTGTATCAGTGCAAGATAAACAATCTCTGCATAGGCATGTAGTTTACCCCAGACAATATACAGTCCGGTGGCTGCGTTCACACAACACACCAAATCCCAAACCCAAGTTAATGGGTCACATAACATGTTATGTGACTCACTCACCCCTAATGGTTTGACGTAAGAGCCAGTTGCTAAGGCAAAGGTTGAGACCCTGGAAGAAAATAAGCCACGCATTTCCCATCCCCATTTTAGCTTACTCAAAGTTGTTATGTGAACTCAGCATGCGTGGTTTTTTTGTTGTTGTTTGTTTGTTTGTTTAAAGGCATAAATCTGTACCAAGGAAGCATTCCTAATTGAAGCAGGAAGTGGAAAAGGGCCTCTTACCTCAACTGCGACACTAGAGGAAGGCACCGGTGTATACTGGGGAATATAGGCTCCTTGCATAGCTGCTGCCGCTGGCATATACTGGTGAGAAGGAGAGAAAATGTCAAGAGACCACAGCAGGACTGGGTCTCGGCCCCACAAAAAAAGGGAAGGAGGAAAGGGGTCCTTACTGTGCCAGCACTGCTGAGGGACAGATGGCCCAGCTGTTGGGTGAGAGGCCCCATCATGGAAGTGGGCTGGATGGAAATGGCGTGGTCCATGGTAGGTGTGAGCATCGTCCCCTGCTTGGGAACAAAATACTGAGTAAAAGAGGGCACCTTTTGAGACAAAATGGAAAGTAATGAAGGGAATGAGTCTAGAAACATCCTAAGAACAATGTGCATTACAACCGACTCTGGGTATGAAAGCACTGCATTTCCCAAAAGTTCAAATTGGAGGATAATTAGAAAAGGTGAGACATGCTGACTAGCACTCTAGGCCACACAGCACTTTGAATTAAAAGCAAAAAAAGTCTCCCCGATGAGTAGTAAAGTATATCAGTTGTTAGTTAATACATAAGTGTTGACACATAAGTGTTTTTACCCTCCTGGTCCAGGAAGACGAAGAAAACAAAAAACAGTTACACAGTTTAATAATTTTTCCTGTCATTTGGACTAGAAAGGGAGAAAGCCCAAACTCTTGCAAGTTAAAAAAAAAAAAACCACCCAAGTCCAACTTCCACTGTTCCATCTGAATTCACAATTAAAAGGACTAATTAGCACTATGAGAACTTTTGCAACATTTTCCTTAATGGAGGATTCCAGGTAGGTAGGTAGGTAGGCAGGCAGGCAGGCAGGTAGGCAGGTAGGTAGGCAGGCAAGCAGGTAGGTAGGTAGGCAGGCAGGTAGGCAGGCAGGCAGGCAGAAACAGCTCTCACCGTGGGCTGCATGAGGTATGACTGATGGTGCATCCAAGATGGACTGTGGACCTAGAATAAGGCAGCGTGTTTTATACATGGTATCTTAACAAAACAGTCCCAAGAGGTAGATTGATTGAGCTATTCAACCCCCTGTCATGAAGCAGGCTGAGAAACAATATCCAAGTAGTGCAGATAAGATTTCAACCAAGGACTTCTGGTTCACAGCTCACACCCTTGTAGACTTTTCCGCTTAACCTGGCTTGCCCCACTCTGGGTTCCTTCCTAAAAGCTGGATTTTGAACTACGACTCCCATAATCTTTGAACATGGGTCATGCAATTTGGAAGGCCACTTTAAAGGCAGACCTTCCCCGTCACACACAGAGTCAGTGAACAGGGGTTTTACGAGTAGCAGGGATAGCTGCATTCTCTCTCATTAAAGTACTTTTCATCTAGACAAGGTGACTTCTGCTAGCTGAATAGGAGGTACAACAGGAAAGTTAACCAGAATTACCTTCCATTTGTTCTAAAAATCAAACATGTGTTCTCATTCCCCCCCCCCCTTGCTGTGGAAACACAAGGGATTGAATAAATGCATCACAATACCATCACATCATTTCTTACCATTTCTGACTTGTTATTAGTGACCCGCCATTTTAATCATGGAATCTTGTTATTGTATGTGGCCAATGCATACAGAAGGAGGAGGAGGAGGAGGAGGAGGAGGAGGAGGAGGAGGAGGAGAAGGAGAAGGAGAAGGAGAAGGAGAAGGAGAAGAAAAGGTTGCCTCCTTCTCCTCCCCATTCTTAGCACAGCCATTTCCAACCTCTCATCTCTTGTTGTGACTCCGGTCCCAGTTTGCATTCTCCAGTATTAGCTGCCAAAGTAACATACCTGGTAGGAGGAAACAGGTGATGGGAGATAAGGGGAGAGCGCAGTCTGGGCAATCATCCTGTTTGGGGCCAGGCTGTAGGGCGTTGTATAAAACCTGCAGAGAAAATAGGTGGAGCAAAGACGCCTGTTAGAAGTCTGTCCCAAACCTGAGACCCCTCTTCCCACTAGTTGCCATGCCAGCTTAATTCTGCCAGGCCCCATTTTCTAATGAAAATATTACTGTACCAATAAAAGGTGAAGGCACAAGAACAAAGACATACCCGTTTTGTAACGCTGTTGTAGGGTCATAAGTCAAGGTCATCCCACCCTGCAGGAAACAATAGTTAATTCACATATGGCTCACGCCTTTTCCTGTCCCCCAGTGCACCAGGTTCTCAGCTCAGTGAAGCCGTAGTTATTATTTCGCCTTTCCAGGAACAAGTCGCAAGCCTTATCCAGGCCAGTAGAGAGCCTGTTCTCTCAACCAGCTTAGTGTGACATGTCAGTACAGCCAATCAAGCTATTAGGGAATTTTTCCTGTCTCTAAGCTTAGCCTGCACAACCTGTGGCCGGTTCACAAAATCCAAAGGGAGAGATGGGAAACCAGTTTGCTTAGGAAGTTCCATGCCAGGGATGCAGTTGTAGACTTCCAGTGAGGACATAGCACACTGACCTACCACGCAGCAGTGGGAGAGATTACGGTTGAAAATGGCAGCAGGAGGCGGGATCCAGACAGCCAAAATCTCTCCGGACAAAGGAGAGACATTTGAGATTACTCGTATGTATTCCAGACAGCTATTTTTTTGTGAGTACACGGCAGAAACCAAGGATTTTGCCGCTGCTTGCAATCAGCTGGGAGTCGTGGGATTCCAGGCAGTCCTCGAATTATGAGCGCAATTGAGCCCAAAGTTTCTGTTGCTAAGCGAGATGGTTGGGAAGTGAGTTTTGCCCCATTATATTACCTTTCTTGCCTCGGTTGTTAAGTGAATCACTGCAGTTGTTAAATTAGTAACGTGGCTGTTAAGTGAATCTGTCTTCCCCATTGGCAGAAGGTCACCAAAGGGGATCATGTGACCCCGAGAACTGCAACCGTCATAAATGTGAACCAGTTGCTGAGCGTTCCAACTTTAATCACGTGACCAAGGGGATGCTACAATGCTCGTAAGTGTGAAAAACAGTCCTAAGTCACTTTTTTGAGTGCTTTTGTAACTTCGAACTGTCACTAAACAAACGGTTGTAAGTCAAGGACTATCTGTACACGAGCCAGAGATATTACTGAAGCCTTTCCTGAACTCAAGGTTCAACAAAACCTCACTTCTTAAAGTGAGGTTTTTTTAAAGATTGAAAATCTTCAGAACCACAAGTTTGATTGTATTCACTGGGTAAGGGTTTTGTTCTTCAATTTTCTTTCTTTTCTTTAGGAAAAATTTATGAATTTAAGATTTTGTAGAAACTTTTTTTTTTTTGAAAATATAGCAAAAAAGTGATTAGAGTGCTGGGTTCTAGACATTTTCAAATAGATTAAATGTTTAGATGAACTTGAATTAAAACTTCGAAATTAATTAAAAGGATTTTCCCTGTGAGAAACATTCAGTATTTATATTTGAAAACAATAATTGATGACTTCGAAGGCACAAGAAGGAAATGACTGTATCAAGAGATTTACTGAGTGAGGTATATGACTTTTGGGCGCAAAAAATAATTTTAAAATTATTTTCCAGGATAAGATAAATTGGATGCTGTTGTGGAAGAGAAACAGATTTTATTGAATAAAGTTGAAATTGATTTAAATGCAGATTTAAAAATTATAAGCAGAGGGGAAAGGTGAATAGTGGAAACACTATTGGACATACAAGTGAAACTGGTTGATTGGAAAAAAAACACCTCGTAAATAGTAAACCAGAAGAGTGATGTAAATAATCTCTTCATATGGGATTTGCAAAAGGAATTTGTTAAAGTTATCAACAATTTTGTGAGAAGAAACATGGAGAATATGAAGAATGATGTGGATAACCTCTTTATACTGGATCTACAGAAAAAGGTGCCAATGATTTTATGAGAAGACATAAAGAAAACATGAAAAGAAAACAGATGTTTGGATATTATCTGAGGAGGCTAAAGGTTGTTATGAGAAAGGGGAAAGATTACATAGTTGGTTTATTTGACCAAGGTTAAAAGAGATGGATTGCTAATTCTGGTAATGTTTAATAGACTAATGTGGACTAGAACTGTTTTATGTTTTAAAAGTTTTTTTTATTTACAAATCAGTTTGGTCTAGGCCAGGGGTAGGCAACCTGGGAGTTGAAGTCCACGAGTCATAAAAGAGCCAAGGTTGCCTACCCCCTGGTCTAGGCTAGAAAACGGAAGGCCATGAGTTCAAGTCCCAACTTAGCCATGAAAGCCAACTGGGTGACTTTGGGCCCGTCATTCTCTCTCAGCCCAACCCACCTCACAGAGTTGGTGGTGGAGAAAATAGAAGGAGGAAAATGTGTCGGATAACTTCGCAGCCTTCAGGTATTTGTAAAAAATAATAAAAGTGGGATATAAATAAATATTTGAAAAAATGATATAGGGGGATTTGCTTAAAGAAAATCAGAAATATATGTAAAAAGGATTCAAAATGGATTTATTGAACATAGTTTATAATAGTTATGTTGCTACTTCTTAAATCTTAATGGACTTTCACTGATATGAGACGGAGTGATGCGGTTTTAAAGGTTTGTTGATAGAGAATGGGATGGGATATGGGATGAAGAAATGATCGTATTTTAAGAGAGAGTGAAAAGTTGTTAATGTTAACTATACTTGCTGGGCTTTTTTAATCTTTTGTAGTTTGTATTAGTTTTATTTCTACAATGCAATTCTTAATAAAATTATTGCAAAAAAGGAAGTTCCGTGCTAGGAGCGAACATGACAAATAAACTTTTTTGTCAAGTTCTCGTTGGGCCCCCATATATGACCAAGGGTGTTCTGTGTCCGTTGAAGCCCTCTAATCTCCTGCTGACCCTCATGCTTACCGTGTCACTTTCCCTTGGCCAGGCTCGTCCATTTTGCACATATTTGCCCTGATTCTGGCGCTTCTTCTGGCCACCATCAGCAAACTTGCAAAGCAGTGGATCTGGAGGAGCTGCAGAAAAAATAAGCCTGGGATTAGCCTTGGGACTTTTGTTGTAACAGATCTGGATGCTCCTAGTTTGAATGATATTCCTAGGGCTCAGTATTCTCTCAATGCCCTAAACCAGTGATGGCGAACCTATGGCACGGGTGCCAGAGGCGGCACTCAGAGCCTCTCTGTGGGCAAGCACGCCGTCACCCCAGTCCTAGGCCTTCAGCTGGGTTTTATAAAATCTTTTCGCTTTAGGCCTCCGCCACCGTGTGCAAAAAAAAAGGTTCAATCAATCAGTCAATTTCAACTTCTCGCAGGGGAAAAAAAAGATCTTGCAAAGTTGGAATTGATTGATTGAACTTTTTAGTCCCACCCAGTCTGCTGTTACCACCGCAGCCACGCCCACCCAATGGGCCACACCCACCCGGCACCCGACAATGCATAAGTGGGTTTTGGGTTGCAGTTTGGGCACTCGGTCTATAAAAGGTTCGCCATCACTGCCCTAAACCTTCTCTTCATAGCTGACTTGATACACTGAATTCCACTCAACACACCGTTCCATCTTTGGTGCACTCATTAACCGGAGGCTATTTTGCTTTGTAGCAGTAACTGTTACATCAACCTGAAGATCCAAAATGGACAACCATGGCTGATCACATTGGACACAGTGCTGCTCACCCTTTCTTCTTCTCCTTGACTTCATCCTACCTCTGAACCACAGAGGATATCCTCCTCTTTCTCTTTTTTCACCCTTCACGGCTAGAGCAGAGAATGAAACCTTCTACCGTTGTTCAAGAGACAGCCATGCCCAGAAAAGCTAGTTAGCATCAGTTCTGTGACTTTTGTGAGACCATCTGCAGACTTTTATTTTCACATTAGTGCTAGGCATATTAGCATTTTGTCAGGAATGCAACAGCCTCCCTCCGTAGTGTGTGTGGCCCAGGCAGCTTTCCATTTAAAGACTTGCAGGCTTCAGTGTCATGCTACTGTTTTCCTTGAGCTCTTGTGGTTAACCTTCCTTTTTGTTGCCAAGCAACTACTCTCTTCTCCCACAACTGGGAGAGTGTACAGAGCTACATAGCATCCTGAATTACTACCACATGAGCAGCACTTACGTACAAGAGGATACTCCTACTTCCCTCCACTGGGCCCTTGGCCAACAAGTCAGAAGGGCCAGCTGATGATACATTCACCAAAATCAAGGAGCCGCTAATCTGTGAGTTATTGGGGGGAGGGGGGAAGGACACAAGGTAATGGCCATTTTGGAAAAGCAGATTATTAAAATAGCTTGTCAGAAAGAAGGCAAAAAAAAATAGTTGGACAGACATGCTTTTTTATGCTCCAATCATATATGCTTCCTCTGAGTGGAGTGGTTGTGTTCCCTCTCCTCAAGCTCAGTTGCGTTATGCAGTCTAGTTTTATCGCAGCCTGCACTGGAGAGCCTGCAGCTGTAGCTATTGCAGCACTGGATGAGTATTGTGGACTTGATCAAGCCCTTCTCTGACACAAATATTGTTTAGGTCAGGGGTAGGCAACCTTGGCTCTTTTATGACTCGTGGACTTCAACTCCCAGAATTCCTGACCCAGCATGGCTCCGCTTGGAAACCTCTCCCTTTCCCCTCAGCATGGCTGGCTCAGGAATTCTGGGAGTTGAAGTCCACGAGTCATAAAAGAGCCAAGGTTGCCTACCCCTGGTTTAGATGATTTGGGGACGGTCATCTTCTCTCAACATAATCCATCTTTATTGTTGTGGGAATTAAATTCAGGTCAGTCTCTATCTAAGCTCCTGGAGTGTTCAGACAAAATTTGGGACACAAATGCAATAATAACAGCCTCACCCCCACCAAGGAGCAACCTATAGAAGGCAGCTAAGGGAAAGGAATGGAAGACAGTGCAATATTGTATTTATCAGACATGATCAATTGATCATAGCCTGGAAATGGCAAGAAACCCTTAATTCTTTTGGTAGCGCCCCCACTTATTTGAGATGTGATGAGCTGGGCACCAATAAGGAAATAAAAATGCCCCTCTTATAAATACCTTTGTTGGAGTGAAGTCTAACTATTCCACAAGAACCACGCTGTGAAATTTACTCCATGGGAAAAGTATGATTCCTTAACTCTGCTGTACATAGGAAATGACTCCAAACCTTTTGCCACACACGCCTCTTAAGAGCGTCCTGCTATTCTAACTTGTTTATCTGCTTACTCCAGTCATGTCTCTTCCTGCTTGAAGTGTTTTACCCCTCCTCTTCAGGCCACACTTTTAGCACTGGGTCAGATTTAGATGACTTAATTCATACTTCACAGGAAGAGGCAAAATCAGGGGTCCCCAACCCCCGGTCCATGAACCGGTACCGGGCCGCAGCATGCCAGCAACTGGTCCGCACAAACAAAGCCCCATCCGCGGGATGGGGTAGCACACGAAACCACGCCCTCTCCGGTCCGTGGGAAAACCTCTCCCCACGGAACCGGTCCCTGGTGCCCCAAAGGTTGGGGGCCTCTGGCCAAAATAATGTTAGCAGACCCATTTGATCAGAACAGCCCTTCTGATCCAATTCCCTCCTTCCTTTATTTACTACGTGGCCTTTCCCCCCTGCCTCTACTCATTAGGCTGGTAAACTGCTCTTTTTCAGTAGCTCTCAGTTCCTTCCCTGTCTCACCGTCAACAATCTCATTGACCTGTTTCAATCAGGTTATCCACAGCAACACATTTTTACACATTATAAATGGAGAACCATGTAGCTCCAGTTTCAGAGCTGTAACTTCTTTCCGCTGCACTTGAAACCCTGACCATTCAGTCACACTGCCCTCTTCTGAAGTTACCTTGGAACTGCTCACACTGTATTTCAATGGTTTTACTCCTACTTATCTCAGAACATTTTTTCTGTGATGTGGAACGTTACAGTATCCTAGCTTTTTCATAGACAACACACAGGTGTACTTTTGAGTGAGGCAGCCAGGGGGGTATCTTTCCAAATGCCTGGATGGATGTTGATATCGGGCTGGATGGGTTCCCTCCATCTCAAACTAAATGGGAAGACTGTTATGTCTCAACCCTTCTGTCTCTGTTTCTGGTTTTGGGCAGCCAGTTGCCACCAGCAAGTCCAACTCAATGATCCATTTTCATAAAAAAAAAAATCTTCAGTGATAATTTTGTTCTGGAGAAAAAATAGGAGGCTGAACATATGTTCACCCCGTTGAATTGACCCATTTTTTTAAAAGGCCAGATAAAAACTTAAAGCAAGAACAACAACAAAAAAAATCAATTCGCTAGAATATCTGTAAAAATGACCATGTACCAATAATGAAAAACTGGGGGGAACACAGAGCTGAAAAAGTAGTTGAAAATGAGTAGGTTAAAATATTGTGAGATTTCTGGACACAAACTGACAACGATTTAACTGTGGTTGGAAAGAAAATGTGGATAACTGATGTGACAATAGCAAGGGATAGTAGATAGAAGATAAAAGAATTGGAGAATGTCATAAAGTATCAAGAACTAATCATCAAAACTGAATGAATGTGGCATAAAGGGGCCCGGTTGCATCCCAATGGTTATTGGCATACTGGGTACCAAACCAAAAAAATCTGGGACAGAACTTAAAAAATCTGCACTTAACACAAAATTTCCACCTGTCATTTGAAAAAGTCCATTGCTTGGATCCACACATATACTATACACTGATAACAGTATGATTTTCTAGGTACTTGGGAAGAACTTTGTGTGTATGAAGGCTCACACAGTTTTAAAAATGGCAGCTTTGACTTCACATTGTTGTGAACAGGTAATAATAATAATAATAATAAAAAACTTGGAGATTTTATTTAAAGAATATTCATTGGCTTTATCAGTTCCTCATCACAGAAACAGCAAAGCAATGGCTTCATGCCCTGATCATCCCTTAGCTAGGATTAATAATAATAGGATTAATAATAATTTTTATTTGCGGTCACAGACCAAAATGCAAGTGCAACAAAAGAAAACACAAGACAATTAAACACCAGAAGCCTTGGCTAAAGGAAATTACAACGTTCTCCTCTAATAGTTACAGTTCTTAAAAGAAATTTAGAAACCTGAGTAGTAATATAGGAGGAACCATCCCCTAAACAATATAAGACCAAATTACTAACATTAGAACCAGAGGGATCAATTCCAAGGAGAGACAGTAATTTAATTCTACCCGTGTTATACAGAGGGCAGTATGATAAGACATGTTCCACAGTTTCAACTTCAGCCCTATCACAAGGGCATCCTTAGCTAGATTATTGCAACAGTCTCTTAGCAGGTCACCTAACATTTTTCCTTATCTGATGATCTGGATCTAGAACAGCACAGTGTGCGCTATTCCGATCCTTCCCTGAATGAATCCTTCCTTCCTTCTATCAGTGATTAGTATTTATGAAAGGTACCAACTTTAATTGCTGGCTAACTCGAGTCTTTATATAGTAGTTGTGACCTTAATTGTAGTATAGGAAGTTACTGTACTAATGTCTCGATGTTGTTTTATTATTTTGTATGGTGCCCTTTTACAAATGCAAGAAAAACACTACTAGTCTTGCTGCTGTTGCTGCTTCTACTACCTTAAACTTTTGTTCCTCTGAAAAGGAACCAGTTCACCCTCCCTCTTATAGTACTCTCTCACCTGGGACCCCAGGAGGTGTCTTGATATATTTGCCATTGAAGTGGGTGATGATGGCTTCACACTTTTCTGTAGACTCCATCCTGGAGAAGCAATGAAAAGAAAGTGTCCATGAAGCTGGGATGGAGAAAATGCCAAATGTTTCTATGCAGGAATAAGTAGGGAGAAGAATGTGCTCTGTTAACAAGTGCTGTGGAATTCCAAGTCTCTCAGCCATGAGAAGGGATGTGGACAATCTCAGCAAGACATCTAGGCAACCTACTCCTAATTGATAGGACCTGCAGCTCAAAATATAGCAGATGTGAGAGTTACCGACTCATAATTCCTATGGAGAAATTCATTGGTTTATACTTGGCTGAACTGACGAGGAGCTGAACGAAAAACAGCTTCATGTCAACTCTAATTCATGTCAACACTCATCTTCAGGTTGTCAAGATTGAGAAACAGTCCTTTAAATGGTGCTGCTTCCATTTAAAGCAGGGTTTCCCAATCTCAGCAACTTTAAGATGTATGGACTTCAACTCCCAGAATTCCCCAGCCAACATGCTGGTTGGGGAAATCTGGGAGTTGAAATCTACGCATCTTAAACTTGCCAAGGTTGAGAAACACTGATTTAGAGGAGTTTGCAGAGAGGAAGGGACAGGGGCATTGGGGTGAGTTCTAGAGGGAGAACACTGTAATAAGAAATCCATGTACTTAACTTTCTGTTAAGCTCAGAGACTTGTGATGAGCATCAGTATTTGGAAAAATTAGATAGGAATTAATAGCCCGTGATTCTCCTAAAATCTCCTAATCAAGATTCATCAAAGCTAACAGATCAAAACTGGAAAATTTATGAGATAGCCCGTTTCTAGGCAACATTTCTTTGGGGAGATTACTAAAAATGAATCCAAGAATGCAAAATCTGACATCAGAATTAACCTGGACTATGCAAATCAATCCACTGGTTTTGAATCTCTAGTTGGATATGAATTTATGACTCCAAATAGCTCCAATATTGCAAGGAGCTTTCAAAATAGAATAGAATAAGAGTTATAGGTCATCTAGTCCAACCCCCTGCTTAAGCAGGAGACCCTATACCATTTCTGACAGATGGCTGTCCAGTCTCTTCTTGAAAGCTTTCAGTGATGAAGCACCCACAACATCTGAAGGCAAACTGCTCCATTGGTTGACTGTTCTCACTGTCAGAAAATTTCTCCTTATTTCTAGGTTGAATCTCTTCTTGATCAGTTTCCATCCATTGTTCCTTGTCTGGCCTTCAGGTGCTTTGGAAAATAGGTTGACCTCCCTCTTCTCTGTGACGGCCCCTCAAATATTGGAAGACTGCTATCATGTCACCTCTGGTCCTTCTCTTCACTAGATTAGCTATGCCCAGTTCCTGCAACTGTTCTTCATATGTTTTAGCCTCCAGTCGACTAATCATCATTCTTGCTCTTCTCTGCACTTTTTCTAGAGTCTCAACATCTTTCTTATAGTGTGGTGACCAAAACTGGATGCAGCATTCTAGGTGTGGTCTTATTAAGGCTTTATAGAGTGGTATTAGTACCTCACGTGATCTTGATTGAATCCCTCTGTTAACGCAACTTAGGATTGCATTGGCTTTTTTGGCTGCTGCCGCACGCTGGTGGCTCACATTTAATTGACTGTCTACTAAGACTCCAAGATCCCTCTCACAATTACTGCTATTAAGCCAGGTTTCACCCAATCTATATGTGTACTTCTGGTTTCTCTTGCCTAAGTGTAAGACTTTACTTTTCTCTACACTGAATTTCATTTTGTTAGATAGGGCCCAGTATCAGGTCTTGTCAGGTCTGTCAAGATCCACCTGGATCCTGAGCCTATCATCTAGGGTGTTGACTATTCCTGCCAGCTTTGTATCATCTGCAAATTTGATGAGTTCCCCTTCTATTCCCTCATCTAAGTCGTTTATGAAGATATTGAAGAGTACTGGGCCTAAGACGGAACCTTGTGCTACCCCACTGCTTACTTCCCTTCATGTAGACATAGTACCATTAAGGACTACTCATTGAGCACGGTTTGTCAGCCAGTTACAAATCCACTTGGTGGTGATGCTATCTATCCCACTTTTTTCTAGCTTACCAAGAAGTAGGTTGTGGTCTACTTTGTCGATTGTTTAGCTGAAGTCTAAGTATAGTATGTCCACAGTCTTTCGCTGGTCTACTAATTTAGTCGCTTTCTCAAATAACGAAATGGGATTGGTTTGGCATGATCTGTTTTTAACAAACACGTGCTGACCTCTAGTTATTACTTTATTTGTTTCTAGATGTTCACAGATCTGTTTTTTGATGTTAGGCTGATTGGTCTGTAGTTTCTGAGTCTGGTTTTCCCCCCTTTTTGAAGATAGGAACCACATCAGCTCTTCTCCAGTCCTCTGATAGTTCCCTGGTTCTTCTGTATTTTTGAAAGATATGGTACAGTGTTTCTGAGATGACGTCTGCCAGCTCCTTCAGAACTCTGGGATGTAATCCGTCAAGTCCCGGTGATTTATATTCATCAAGCTCAGACAGGTGTTCTCTTACCATTTTCTTGCTTATTTTAATTTTTATTTCTAGTCTGTCTTTTACAGTTATGTTTTTAGTAGGTTGGGCTATAGTTTCTTTTTGTGTGAAGACTGATGCAAAGAATAAGTTAAGCAGCTCTGCTTTTTCTCTACTGCCTGTTACTTCCTTTCCATCTTCTCTCTTTAGTGGACTGACTGTTTTCTTGATTTTTTTTCTTGTCATTTATATGTTGAAAGAGACTTTTAATACCTTTGACTTTTGTTGCAAGTCTTTGTTCATTCTGAGCCTTTGCTTTCCTGATGCTGGCCTGTGTTTCCACATGGCTCTGCTACGACGATTAAACATCTCATTTGCTTGTTATCCCTTTTGGCTTTGAAATGCTACATCTAAGGCAGTGTTTCTCAACCTTGGCAACTTTACGATGTGTGGACTTCAACTCCCAGAATTCTCGTTGCTAGCTGGAGAACTCTGGGAGTTGAAGTCCACACATCGTAAAGTTGCCAAGGTTGAGAAACACTGATCTAAGGACTCCGAGAAAATATTTTAGAGCTGTAGACTTTGAAAGAAAGCGGGGGTAGCAAATCAGCTTTGACAGAGAGAGAAATAGTGTTTTAGTCTCTCTCCTCTCTTTACGAGGACCAACCTCATCCATTACAACCAGCTATAGGAAACAGGGATATGTAATTAACCAACCATTGCTAATTGGACCAAGTTTACTTTTTCAGGTATGAAGGAAAATAAATATGGAGGAGCCAGGAGCTGTCTGTTGCAATGTGAACATTTGGCAGTAGAGGGCAGTGTAGGATAGAAAAGAACGCCCAAGCTGACACAGGAAAGGGAGAATACACAACAAAACTGCCCACCCAGGTGGAGGTCTGAGCAGTAAAGGAGCAGCTTGGAGGTACCCTTCTATGCCTAAAAGTAATTCTACAGTTAGACAAATCTTTAGCAGGGATCTTGGGTTAGGAACCAAATGCACACAGATGTATTTCCCTCTTTCTTAGCAACAATGCGAAACGTCATTGTAAATAGGGGAAACTATAGGATCAGTGGTGCTTCTGTCTTTCAGCATTCCTGTTCCACATCAAGCCATTTTCTAAATCACCAGTTTTCTGCTACCAGTTTTCCTCCCGTCCCTTCTCAAGCAATTGGCTAAATATCTTGCTTCTCCCCAAGGCTAAACTGAAGACTGAACAGCAGCTGGGTGCCATGGGAAAAGCGAAGGAGGTAACCTAGGGCTTTATACTCCGCATCAAAACATCTGGGACATTTCTTTGGCCCACAAGCTAGCCACATGTTATAAGGCTTTAGGACAGACAAAGTGCCATTGAAGTTCAACTTTTTCTGCCCGCCAAACATGGAAAAGGAATCATTTTGAGTGTCAGTGCTCAACCATCTTTCGCTGCGGCCTCTCTTAATCTTTTAGGAACATTTGGTGATGGCATATTTAGGAGAAAAGAAACTGAAAGACACACACTGGGAGCTAAAATAATATGGTTTCAGAGGCATGTAGAAAAACGTCCATAGAACAGCCAAATGTCCATATCTGGTTCCCAGTGGACCAACTCAGAAGGGAGTAGCTATAGCTATCCCAACCTTACAACGTAGGAATAGGACATGGAAGAGTTAAAAAAAAAGGCAAATGCCCATCGCCACCTTGAACCAAGAGGGAAATATTTGCACATGCTCCGTGCATAAGGGAATATTTAGCCAAGCAAACCTCTGTGCAGGTATTCCGACAGAAGACCATCCTTGGGCAAAGGAATGGTTCAAGGTGCTTGCTCACCTACGGGATGTGAATGGACCACATTTCTGAGGGCTCCCTGAGTGAACATAGGCTAGGCCTGTTTGTCTTTTTAAGCTAGCACTACCGTATATAGCTGAAGAAGTGCATCATTAAACCAAATGATCCCCAACCCTGTCCCAGCCATCCCGCCTGACCTGGCAAAGCCAACTCCTCGGCTGGTGCCGCTGGCATCACGTAGGATACGTGTAGAGATGACTTGTCCGAATGGCTTCAGCATCGACTCCAATTCAGCCTCATCCATGCCCAAAGGCAAGTTTGACAGGTAGAGGTTGGTAGGATCCTGCTCCTGTTGCTATGGAAACAAGAAGTCAGGCTGTTGCCTAGCAATAGTCCATCCCATCCCGGGGACGCATTCCTTTGGACTTTCCCTTCCCTTCCCTTCCCTTCCCTTCCCTTCCCTTCCCTTCCCTTCCCTTCCCTTCCTGAACGTGTCACCTGCCTCTGTTGAGATGCTTGCTGCCTCCCTTTCTCTAGGCACACTGAGGCCTTTCCATTTATGAAGAGAACTCAACATATTATCTCGGTAGAGAGCCCAGATTCTGCTCTGGGCAACCCCACCAGTGAGACTCACTGTTGTGAAGCAGAATGAAGAGAAGCCGATGCATTGGAAATATCCAGCATCCAGGAGAGCAAGTGAGGCAGCAAACATGGCCTCTGTGGTACTGTTGGCTATAGCACATATACAAGTGTGCTAACTGCAAGAGCTGCACACTGGGAATGACATACGTGCCCTACGTGCACGTGTGAACGCTGTGTGTTCTTTCCAAATAGATAGACTCAGACTGTCAAAGACACTCCAAGGGAATCCCACCGCTGGCCATGGCTTTAATTTACGAAAATGTAGCGGATATATTGGGGGAGAGAGAGAGAGAGAGAGAAAATGAGGAAGAGAAAGCCTTCTCTAGCAGGGGTCCTCAATCCCCAGTCCACAGCCCCTGATTACAGTGTAATTTACTCTGAGTAAATCCAAATCTACTGTACAACATCCGCCTCCCATTGAATGTGTAGATATTCTTGGACTAAGATAGCATTACTTATTTCTTACATGGAACCATAATGATGCTCTCTGCTTCTTTGAGTAGTAGCTGATCTTGGTCTACAGAACAGTGGTACCCAATCTTTCTGGCTTCATGGACCAGCAGTGGGGAGGGGGGGGGGAGAGGACCCCTTGCTAGAGAAGGCTCTCTCTGTCTCTCTCTCTGTCTCTCTCTCTCTCTCTCTCTGTCTCTCTCTCTGTCTCTCTGTCTCTCTCTCTGTCTCTCTGTCTCTCTCTCTCTGTCTCTCTCTCTCTCTGTCTCTCTCTCTGTCTTTGTCTCTCTCTCTCTCTGTCTCTCTCTCTGTGTGTCTCTCTCTCTGTCTCTCTGTCTCTGTCTCTGTCTCTCTGTCTCTCTCTCTCTGTCTCTCTCTCTCTCTGTCTCTCTCTCTGTGTCTTTGTCTCTCTCTCTCTCTGTCTCTCTCTCTGTGTGTCTCTCTCTCTGTCTCTCTGTCTCTNAGATGACTTGTCCGAATGGCTTCAGCATCGACTCCAATTCAGCCTCATCCATGCCCAAAGGCAAGTTTGACAGGTAGAGGTTGGTAGGATCCTGCTCCTGTTGCTATGGAAACAAGAAGTCAGGCTGTTGCCTAGCAATAGTCCATCCCATCCCGGGGACGCATTCCTTTGGACTTTCCCTTCCCTTCCCTTCCCTTCCTGAACGTGTCACCTGCCTCTGTTGAGATGCTTGCTGCCTCCCTTTCTCTAGGCACACTGAGGCCTTTCCATTTATGAAGAGAACTCAACATATTATCTCGGTAGAGAGCCCAGCTTCTGCTCTGGGCAACCCCACCAGTGAGACTCACTGTTGTGAAGCAGAATGAAGAGAAACCGATGCATTGGAAATATCCAGCATCCAGGAGAGCAAGTGAGGCAGCAAACATGGCCTCTGTAGTACTGTTGGCTATAGCACATATACAAGGGTGCTAACTGCAAGAGCTGCACACTGGGAATGACATATGTGCCCTACGTGCACGTGTGAACGCTGTGTGTTCTTTCCAAATAGATAGACTCAGACTGTCAAAGACACTCCAAGGGAATCCCACCGCTGGCCATGGCTTTAATTTACGAAAATGTAGCGGACATATTGGGAGAGAGAGAGAGAGAAAATGAGAAAGAGAAAGCCTTCTCTAGCAGGGGTCCTCAATCCCCAGTCCACAGCTCCTGATTACAGTGTAATTTACTCTGAGTAAATCCAAATCTACTGTACAACATCCGCCTCCCATTGAATGTGTAGATATTCTTGGGCTAAGAGAGCATTACTTATTTCTTACATGGAACCACAATGATGCTCTCTGCTTCTTTGAGTAGTAGCTGATCTTGGTCTACAGAACAGTGGTACCCAACCTTTCCGGCTTCATGGACCAGCAGCGGGGGGGGGGAGAGGACCCCTTGCTAGAGAAGGCTCTCTCTCTCTCTCTCTCTCTCTCTCTCTCTCTCTCTCTCTCTCTCTCTCTCTCTCTCTCTCTCTCTCTCTCTCTCTCTCTCTCTCTCTCTCTCTCTCTCTCTCTCTCAGGAGAAAAAGGATCTGCAGCTTAATTCAGTATCCACATTGCCACCTGGTTCGAGCAATCAGCCCCAACCAAATGGTGGCATCATAATTTGCAGAACATCTCCCAATATATCTGGAAAGCACCAGCTTGGGGAAAGTGGAATTAAAGTGATCAGCAAGATACAAGGTGTATGTTTGGAGAGGAATTAATACATCATAGAACTGAACAGTTTATCTTCAATCATTAACATCTCTAGCTTTAAAGACGTTTTGGGGGAAAAAGAGAGTGTTCTTTTCCCAGAGAACTTGGGAAAGGAATCATCACCTGACCAAGTGAGACTGAGTAATACTGGAATTATTCTGAGATTCAAGGCTGGGATATTGAACTTAATGGACACATAATTCAATCTGCTATGGTAGAGTCTCATGTGACTGCTGGGGTCTGATTCACATATAACACTAAGATACATTAGCTCTGGTTGCTGCTCTTGTCTACTTGTCTGAACGATGGCTTGCATAGAAAACCCAGGTTCCTGCAGAATTTACCACCACACCTACTTGTCATGACTGTACCCAGCACCACCCACTCCAACCACATGGCACGAAGCACCAATGGTACCCTTGAAACCCTGGGCAACACAGTAATGCTGGAGAACACACACACTGCAGAAGAGCCTCTCCATCATGGCAGGTTATAAGAAAGATCTCACTTCAACAGGGCTAAATCACAAGGAACAAGGTTAAACTAGAACAGGAGTAGGCAACCTTGGCTCTTTTATGACTCGTGGACTTCAACTCCCAGAATTCCTGAGCCAGCATGGCTTAGCTTGGAAACCTCTCCCTTTCCCCTCAGCATGGCTGGCTCAGGAATTCTGGGAGTTGAAGTCCACGAGTTATAAAAGAGACAAGGTTGCCTACCCCTGAACTAGAAGTTTAACCGTGATTGTCTTAGTCAGGAAGATTCCCATTCTCGTTTGTTGAAGGGAGGAGGACGGCTCTGCCATATAGGCCTGCAGCTCAAGGCTTACCTTGGCCATCTGGGCTTGGACCCCGCTGGCCTTGAGTGCAGTCACGGCCTTCTGAGCTGCTGTGGGGCTGTCAAAATCCACAAAGCCATAACCTGAAGGTTCAAGGAGAGGAAAGATTAATCTTGTTGACCTTGGAGATTCCATCTCTAGCTTGGACAGGTAGTCCTCGACTCACAGCAGTTCATTTAGCGACCATTCAAAGTTACGATGTCACTGAAGACCGTTTTTCACACTTATGACCACTGCGGCATCCCCCTGGTCACATGATTGAAATTCAGATGCTTCGCAAGGGACTCATGTTTACGTGAAGTCAATGGGGGAAGCCGGATTCACCGAACAGCCGTGTTACTAACTTAACAACTGTGGCGATTCACTTAACAACTGCGGGTTTAAGAAAGATTGTAAAATGGGGACAAACTCACTTGAGACATATTTCACTTAGCAACATAAACGTTGGGCTCAATTGTGGCCGCACGTTGAGGACTACCTGTATAGAGGATTCTTCCTCCAGCCCTCTGCTTCTGGGTGAGCAGCAAAGAGACTTACCTTTGCAGCCCTCCTGCCTCACCCACCTTCCTTTACATTCTCAGCTGCACCACACCCTCTAGCACACCACAACCAGCAATCATTCTGAGGGGCAAGACTAATGTTATCTGGCGGGGGGTTCGCAAACATTGGCAGGAAGGCAAGAGAGGGAGGATCTGTCTCACCGTTAAGCCATACAGACTGCAGGATCCCCCTTCTCTTCTTCCTCTTCCCCTCTCCTCCTCCTCCTCCTCCTCCTCCTCCTCCAGCTTGTACTCTGAGTGGATGCTCCATCTTTTTTCTCTCCCCAGCAATGTCTGGCATTTCAGGAATGCAGCTCCTCCCCCACACAACCATCACCCTCATGCCAATAAACCACCCCACCTTCAGACCGAGCCCATCCTCCTCAGGAAACTTGGCTCCGGAATCCGATTCTGAACCTGTCCTGTGCCCCAGCCTTACACACAGGTTTCAGACTTCGTCAGCCTTAAAGCTGTGGATGGAAGAAACCATCTTTTGAAGGAGAGATTCAATTCTCTGTGTGCGATAAGGATGTAGCAAAACAGGACAGCTTTGCGTTTCCCCCTTTGAGAAACCCCAAGCAAAACCCACACTTGTTATCCAGATCGGATCCTGGGGATACCACAATATTACTCCATACATACGAGAGGAAAACCCAGGCTGAGCTCACCTTTGCATTTATTAGTTGTTTTATCCAGGATGGCCTTGGTGGAGACAATTTTGCCATATCTATAAAAGTACAGAAAAAACGTCAAGATAAGGGATGGAATAAGCACAGCTCTTAAAGCAAGTTTGGGAAATGGATATAATAGTTCCTAACTATCCTCCCCGGAAATGCTTCTCCTTCATGGACTCTTCTCTGCTCTCCCACCCTCCACCCGAGAAGACTGAAAAATAAAGTTTTTCTCTACTCAGGAATTAAGAGCTGCCCTTCAATTAATTGCAGGACAAGCAGGGTCCACTACCGGTGAGAAAAGAAGGTTTTGAAGGCTGTATTGGGCCCTTGGTTTCCCACCCAAATCCTACAGAAGAATTGTAAATTCTTCACCGTTAACAGTCAAGAAGCTGAAAGTGTCTAGAAAAGTTTATTCAGACTTGTCTAAATCCCCTGGACAACTCTGTCACATATTTGTAAGCTGTGATGTCCCATCTCTGTGAAGGAACCCTTGGCCAGGAAGGTGAACGAAGCAACGACAAAAAAGACAACTGATCATCTAGCACAGCTCTCATTTACCACCGTGAAACTCTTCATAGGTGCCTTTATTTGGACAGAACCTGACAATAAGCCAGTTGCTACTTATTATTATTTTGGGGGGGGGGGGCAAAAAAAGGGTCTGGGTCTCCAAAGGGACAGCCATGACATTTTAAACTATCAGAACATATAGCTGGCATGTATCAGGGGGGCGATAGGAGGTGGCCCATCTTGACCAGTGATTGGTCAAGATCCCAGTCGGTTCGCAGACATGGAGCAGCACAACTCAGTGTCAAAGAGGCATCCCTAGATTAACTGCAGACTCTTCCCATTTCAAAGGCACCACAGCTCGAGTTCTGACAGCAAATGAATGGCAAAGTAACTCTGGATGTCACGTGAATCATTACAGGTAGTCCTCAACTTAGACCCGTTCATTTAGTGGCTGTTCGACACTTATAAGGCACTTATGACCAGTCCTCACGCTAACAACTGTCACAACATAGCCACAGTCACGCAATCAAAGTTTGGGTGCTTGGCAACAGTCATGGAATTACAATGGTTGCAGCATCCCAAGGGGGGTCACCTGATTGTCACTCACTCCTTCCTAGCCAGCTTCCAACAAGCAAAGTCAATGGAGGGAAGCCAGATTTGCTTAATGACCACATAACTCGTTTAACAACTGCAGTGATTTGCTTAACAACTGTGGGCCAAAAAAAGAGTCGTAACCCCAGATGCGACTCATTTAATAACCCCTTTGCTTAGCAATGAGATTGTGATCCCAATTGGGACTGCACAATTGAAGGCTACCTGTATAACAAGGCTAGGCGAGTTTTGTGATGTAAGCCGTATTCAAAGACTTTTGGGGAGTGAGGACTACTGAGAAAGCGATTGGAAGGAGGCTGGAGCTAAACTTCCATTTTTGAGTTGTGTTTTTCCTATTTATATTATTATTCCCATCCTTGAGTGCCTCCAAATGGTGGGAAATCATGTTGCTCACATTAATAATCCTGCAGTCGGTATTTAGTAGCATGGTCAGACATGGGCTTGAGAGCCTAAAGAAACCCTTTCAGAAACTGCGTTAGCTGAGGTTATCCATCTCTGCACTAGAGAACAGTCAACATACTGTGCACAGAAGAATGACCTTTGTGATGTTTGAGGTTCAGCTTTAAAAGAAAAAGAGAGAGAAAAAAAGAAACTGCACGCTCCTAATTATAACTTGCAAATAAAATGTCGAACTCTGGAAGATGTGCAATTCCTCACCGGATCTGAAATTCCAGTCTTGCGCAATACAGTCCCAGAAGTACAGAACGCTGAGTCTGGGTGGTAGAACTTCCATAGACACATATAAAAGCCTGAATGTTGTCCTTACAGGAGCCTACATTAAAACCTCAAAAGGTGAGAGCTGGGAATATTAAAATAGCCACGGCTATTCCTTTGGCTGGTTCCCACCAGTCCTTGAGCTAGCAGAAAACTCTACCAGCATAACATAAGCTGCCCCCAGTGATGATCTCTATCCTGCCACACATACGATGCTGACAAATGGTGCTGTTCTTATTAATAAGCAAGCAGGACACACACTAACAGCAGGGCATCACAAAGTGGCGGGAAAACGCTTTCCTTAATGTGGGTGAGGTAATAATAATAATAATAATAATAATAATAATAATAATAATAATAATAATAATAATAATAATAATAATAATAATAATAAAGTTGGAAGGGACCTTGGAGGTCATCGAGTCCAACCCCCTGCTCAGGCAGGAAACCCTACACCATTTCGGACAGATGGTTGTCCAGTCTCTTCTTAAAAACTTCCAGTGTTGGAGCATTCACAGCTTCTGGAGGCAGGTCGTTCTGCTGGTTAATCGTCCTGACTGTCAGGAAGTTTCTCCTTAGTTCTAGGTTGCTTCTCTCCTTGGTTAGTTTCCATCCGTTGCTTCTTGTCCTGCCTTCAGGCGCCTTGGAGAATAGCTTGACTCCCTCTTCTTTGTGGCAGCCCCTGAGATCTCATGTCGTCCTTCTCTTCGTTAAACTAGACATACCCAATTCCAGCAGCCTTTCTTTATATGCTTTGGCCTCCAGTCCCCTGATCATCTTTGTTGCTCTTTCTCTGTACTCTTTAATGTGAGTGAGATATGAGGCAGAGGCAACTTTTGACAGAGGGCTAAATCAGTGAGCTGCACTACCTGTCAAAACTTGCTTTGGTTTTACGCGCACATTTTGTACAGGTGCCGTCAAAGGGAGCCCAAGTAGCAACTGGCTCAAGCTCATTTCGAATAGGGGTTTAGAGCTGTTCTAGCAGGTTACTAAAACTGTGTTCAAAAGCGGCCCGGAGAATAGTTCAAGGGGAAAATTACACCGGAAAGCAGCAGAGAGAGGGCTGGCTGTCTCTCCTGCTTCACTGTGAAGCCTACCCCACCTCTACCATTTTAAGCTGATGCAGATCACCAAGCATGGGATCGGAGGGCTGGTACAGGATGAGAGCTCTTCTGCTGCTTAAGCGGAAAGGCTTCTGAAGAGAACGCCCAGGGCTCAGGGGAAAGTGGGTGTGCCATAGGTCCCTGGCCAATCTCGCCCTTTAGGGGTGGCCTGGCTGCAACACTAGCCAAATAGCTGCTGAAGGGTACCAGACACCTCCCGTGTCAAAACCATGGGAACTTACCGAATGCTTAAAGAGATACAGTAAGGTTTTAACTCTGGGACAGCTAAGGACAATTTTGAACTGCTTCAGGCACGGCTCCTGGAGGAAAGGAAAGCAGCAGCACCAAGACAGGGCCAGAAAAGATGGTGACTAGGATATGGGGCTCTCTACATGGGGCTCCCCTTGAGGTGCACCTGGAGGCTCCAGCTAGTTCAAAATGCGGCCGCGCGGGGGATCCTGGGGGCCTCTAGATACTCCCATGTAACACCTCTCCTACGCGAGCTGCACTGGCTGCCTGTGGCCTTCCGGGTGCGCTTCAAGGTGTTAGTAACAACCTTTAAAGCGCTCCGTGGCAATGGACCTAGGTATTTGCAAGACCGCCTTCTACCAAACACCTCCCTTCGACCAGTCCGCTCCCACAGAGAGGGCCTCCTTAGAATGCCGTTGGCCAGACAATGCCGGCTGGCGACCCCCAGGGGGAGAGCCTTCTCTGTGGCAGCTCCTGCCCTCTGGAATGACCTACCCCCCCCCGACCTACGTACAGTTGCGGACCTGCACCTTTTTCGCCAAGCCCTGAAGGCCCATCTATTCCGTGCGGCCAGCCTGGCGTAGTTTGATTATGTTTTAGTGGGGGTTTTGTATGGGGTATTTTTAGAGCAGGCTTGTTATTTAATTTGATTTTAGAATAGAAACTTGGATATATTTATCGTGGTTTTTATTATCGCCTGTTCACCGCCCTGAGTCCCGTAAGGGAGATAGGGCGGTATATAAATTCAATAAATAATAAATAATAATAATAATAATAATGCTCCCGCCACAGTTTCCCACAGAAGTGAAGAAAGAGGTAACGGTTATTCCAGCATCCTCTGAATAGTTCTGGGGCAATTAGAAACAGCCTTGGTGGTGTAATCATTTGCTAAGCATGGCCCTAACAGCCCTTTTCTTGTAAACCACTTGATTAGGTTCCTTATCCCTATCTTGCGAGGGAAGTCACAGTAACGCATGCAATTCTTTGGGCCAGTCTTCCTAGGACACCCTTAAATTCCTCCATCCTCTCTCTCTCTCTCTCTCTCTCTCACACACACACACACACACACACACACACACACAAACACACCCCGTGGAAGCCCTGAATTAGTTTCCCTTTAAAAATAGCCAGCGAACTCTGGCTCTCTTCCCCTCCCCCAAGTGCCGAGCCCTACAGAGTCCATCCCAGCTGCCCTCTGACCCCACCCGCAACGCTTCCTGTTCACCCTGAGCAGGATTTCCTGCCCAGGGAAGGACAAGCCCAGGAAATCCGACCGGCGCCAAGAACAGCCGAGTCCTGGCGCCTCCCAGCCAGGACTCAGGGGAGTCCAGCTGCAGGGTTTCAGAGTGAGATGAATCATGCTGAATGCTGTGGTTGTGGTCAGACCTCCAATGGGGGGGGAGGAGGAAGGGGGGGTCTACTGCTTTGCAGATGTGGGAATTAAGGCACAGGAGGAGGAGGAGGAGGGCACTGCACATAAATGTTGCAAGATAGGGGCAGGATCAGGAACGCCGCCCAGAATTCCCAGCTCCTGCCCAGTATTAGTCTCTGGAACTGGTTTCCTTCCCTTCCCTTTGGTCCTCCCCAAACTCTCCACCGCTGGTTGCAGCTCTCATCCATGATCCCTTCTCTCACACATTCCTGGTATGAAGCAGGCGTGTTTGTCAAGTGTGGCTTTGGGGCCAGATCCAGCATTCCAGACTGGGGTGAGCTGAGGTAAACGAGGAACAGCCCCCTGCCCACCCACCCCTCCTGGCCTCCTGGCTTCAAGTACTACAGCTTTGCTCAGTCTCCTTCGGGCAAGGCTCGGAGACGGAAGAGTAGAGCAAACCCTGGCAGGCAATTAGGGAGCCACAGACTTCACAACGTCAATATGTTGCTGCAGGCAATGTGTACGTGACTGCACTCTACTTAGTCCCCTTCAATTCCCCCCACCCCCCCCTCCCCAGAAGTCACTTTCAGAACTCTTTAGCTGGGAAATCAGACGCCTTCCCATCACTTTTTAGATAACTTGGCAAATTAGGGGGATACCAAGGCAACACTGATTATTAGTCAAGGCTCCAGTATTGCACTGAGCTTCTGGAAGATGTGGGAGTTCAATACAGCAGATAGCACTAAGGTCTTAGGCTTCTGATATCCTTAAAACAAGGACACCGAATTACAAGTTTCCACGAGGATCCAAGAAACAGGTGAGCCACAGCAGTAGCAGCACTCCAAACTTGATGAACTTCCTACAAATAATGACCTTTCTATTCAGGCTGCACTTCAGTTCCAGTAGACCGTAAAACCCAGAGCAGAAGACTGGATTCAGACCTGATGCGGCCAGCTTCCCATCCTTACAAAGAAGGACATGGTCCTTCACCAAAGTGCTGGAAAGAGCTGGGATAGCTTACGTTTTTTTATTTCTTTCTTTCTTTTTGACTTCTCAGCCAGAATATCCTAAAGGGGCCACGTAGAAGAAAGCCAAACTGTCGTCCATACACTTTCAAGTCTGGCTCCAGTTTAAGTTGTGGAATGGGGAAAAGAAGGAAAATGGGTGAAGAACCACAGTGAGGAGATAGGAGAATAGGGCAAAGGAATGAACATTCCTGATTCCTGTCTCTTCGCAGAAAAAAGCCCCTAAATCTGTAGGCAAACCTGATCCACACTTGACAATAACTGGGTGATCATTGAAATCTCTGAGAGTTCCAGATTTGTGGAACGTTTAAACTTCTCCTTTGATTTTGGTGACATGGCTAAGTCTCTTTCTGCTTCATCAACATGAATAAACAACATGAATAATCAACACAAGCACATGATGCGAAAGTGGCTCACTGCCCATATTTCTTGGTAAATCATACATTTGGCTTGTTGCCACATCACGTGAGCAATAGCAATAGCACCTAGACCAGTGTTCCTCAACCTTGGCAACTTTACGATGTGTGGACTTCAACTCCCAAAATTCTCCAGCTAGCAATGCTAGCTGGAGAATTCTGGGAGTTGAAGTCCACACATCGTAAAGTTGCCAAGGTTGAGAAACACTGACCTAGACTTATATACCGCTTCACAGTGCTTTACAGCCTTCTCTAAACAGTTTAAACAGAGTCATCCCCCAACAATCTGGGTCCTCATTTTACCAACCTCGGAAGGATGGAAGGCTGAGTCAACCTTGAGCCAGTGAGAATCGAACTGCCAAACTGCAGGCAGCCAGCAGTCAGCAGAAGTAGCCTGCAGTACTGCATTCTAACCACTGCGCCACCACGGCCCATCTATTTACTAGCGAGAAGGAACTGTATCCTCTCCAAGAGCTGAGCCAACCCTGATCCAATAATGCACAACCAACATTTTTGTATATGCTATGTTTCATACGACTGCCTTCATGACTTCATTCATCCTTACCTGTACTACTAGTGTTACAGAACTATTTTCTGTTCCCCCCCCCAGCTCTATCCGAGGGCCTCCTCAAGAGGATTGATAGGGCTTGTCCCCTTGAGGAAGTCAGGGACTGCAATGGCTTGAAAGAGCAGTTGTACAGGCAGGATAGGGATTAGCAATGGGGACACAAGTTACATGCCAGTATAAGTTTTTTTTGCTGAATTCAGGAAGTGTGGATAGCACTCGGTACTGGAGAAGACCGCTAAGTTCAATTCCCACTGAAAACAGAATACTACAGACCAAGGTCTAAATAGTAAGTACACAACATTTGGCCACCTGGATTTACTTCCCCACCCTATGAGCGATTGTCAATGTTTCTTGGATGATGGTAACTTACGGTTGGCAGAGCTTGACCAGATCCTGATCGGTGGTACCAGGATGCAGGCCCCGGATATACAAGTTTGTTTTGCTCAGCTGGTCCCCGCCACCTCCGCCACCACCTGGCCCACTGCTGCTGCTGCTGCTGCTATTGTTGTTGCAGCTGCCACTGGGGCTTGGGGGTGCCATCTGCTGGGCCACTGAGACATAAGGCTGCATGGCAAAGAAGAAAGAGCTTGTTAAATGGCTGTTGGGTCAGGCAAGGCAAAGACAGCTAGCAAGACAACGCTCCATTGTGGATGACAGGGACACAGTGAGCAGTGTGGAATTCCCATTGCACTTGGTCTAATTTTTTCTTTCAGTTCTTCATAAATGGGCAACTCTGACCTCTAATCAGTATGAGTATAAAGGAACTGTAAGTTATGTATGCAGAATGCCTTGCTGAAAAGGTGGAAGATAAGAAGAATTGTCTTGTCTCCTTTTGGTACAAAGACCCCAGCTAATTTACCCATAATGGATCTGCATCAGTGGGAGAGACCCTTGAGACAAAGATTTCTTCTGTTCTGCTTCCTAGAGGTGGAAGCCTTTACAAGTTAAATAAAATTAAAACATACAGTTGTAAGATCAGATTGGGGCAGAGAGTTTCAAGCCCCTTCCCCCTCTCAGGGCTAGAATCCCCTCACACCACCCATCCTAGGCCCCAAAGGGGTCCCTGATCAATTGCCTTCAGTCCCCGGATGGGGAGAAGTAAAGAGGTTTCCTCATCCAGGATGATCAGAAGTTCCACCCTCCCGATGGATCTGAACCCCTGAATGTAACAAAGGCCCCCAAACACTGCCACCATCAGAGAGGATAGTATAAAAGGAAGGGGGGAAAAACAGCCTTGCTATCATTGGTCAAGACACCTTTGATGTCATAATCATACAGTCAGCAAGTAAATTTGGTTAGAACATTCTCAGCTTGGACTCTTTTTATAGACAATTCCTGTCTCCCTGCAATGAACTCATAGAGCAGGGGTCTTCAAACGTGGCCCTTTTATGACTTAGTAATAGTAAGTAAAGTTGGAAGGGACCTTGGAGGTCATTTAGTCCAACCCCCTGCTCAAGCAGGAAACCCTATACCATTTCAGACAAATGGCTGTCCAGTCTCTTCTTAAAAACCTCCAGTGTTGGAGCATTCACCGCTTCTGGAGGCAGGTTGTTCCACTGGTTAATTGTTCTAACTGTCAGGAAGTTTCTTCTTAGTTCTAGGTTGCTTCTCTCCTTGATCAGTTTCCACCCGCTGCTTCTTGTCCTGCCTTCAGGCGCCTTGGAAAATAGCTTGACTCCCTCTTCTTTGTGGCAGCCCCTGAGATATTGGAACACTGCTATCATGTCCCCCCTCGTCCTTCTCTTCGTTAAACTAGACATACCCAATTCCAGCAACCGTTCCTTATATGTTTTAGCCTCCAGTCCCCTAATCATCTTTGTTGCTCTTCTCTCTACTCTTTCTAGAGTCTCAACACCTTTTTTACATCGCGGTGACCAAAACTGGATGCAGTATTCCAAGTGTGGCCTTACCAAGCATTGTAAAGTGGTATTAACACTTTACGTGATCTTGATTCTATCCCTCTGTTAATGCAGCCTAGCACTGTGTTGGCCTTTTTGGCAGCTGCAGCACACTGCTGGCTCATATTTAGGTGATTGTCCACTAGGACTCCGAGGTCCCTCTCACAGTTACTATTATTGAGCAAGGTACCCCCTATACTATACCTGTGCATTTGATTTTTCTTGCCTAAATGTAGAACCTTACTTTTTTCACCATTGAATTTCATTTTGTTAGATAGCGCCCAGTGTTCAAGTCTGTCCAGATCCTTCTGTATCTTAAACCTATCTTCTGGAGTGTTGGCTATGCCTGCCAGCTTGGTGTCATCTGCAAATTTGATGAGTTCCCCATCTATCCCCTCGTCCAATTGTGGACTTCAACTCCCAGAATTCCTCAGCCAGGCACGCTGGCTGAAGAATTCTGGGAGTTGAAATCCACAAGTCATAAAAGGGCCAAGTCTGAAGACCCCTGTTGTAGAGTCTTTCCTCATGTTTCAAAAGAGCAAGGGCTGTTCCATCCCAAAACCACCCCATTTTTCAGTACCCAAACAACAATTTTGCTGCAGAATTTTAGCTTTCTAACTAGCGTATTCATTCTTATTGGTGACTGTGATTGCCCCATTGAATGTTTTTGCTTTAATATAGTGAGCTTGCACCAAACCATAATAAGCTCTATTTAGGTTTAATTTAGCACATTGTAGAAATTCAGCAATTTTGGTTTGTAAGCCATAGTTTCTGGCTTCCCATCTTATGCAAATCCATCCAATTGTGATTCAGGACACTAGATTTAAATCAAGTCTAGTTTAATGCAAGGTATGGTGGTTAATGTTCAATATGATCTATAAGGCCAAAGGATGCAGCTTTTCCTTTTGTTCGTAACGTTTATGTGACCATCTCTACAGTTTTAGGAAGCAAATACTCTGATGCACCATTCTGTTGCCACTAGAATGTGACTGGCACTTAATTGGGAGTTAACAGAAAGAAATTCACTTTGCCAGGTAATTCTGGGAATTTGCGCTTCTTAAGAAAGAGGACTAACCATCACTTAACAAAGTTTTCAGCACATCAAACTACAATTTCCAGGATTTGGGGAGGGGAGGATTTTAACAGTAGAAATCCAATATATACTTATAGTGAAAATATGTCCTTTTTTCTTTTAAGTTTTTTTTAAAAATCTGGACAGTCTCCTGGAGACCTGAAAATGCAAAAAAAAATATTCATATCCAAAATGGTCACCTGGCCAGTATGGAGGGGGAAAAAGATTTTGTGTCTACCCAGACATCTAGCAGTGTTAGCTTCAAAAGTCAGGTGATTATTCTTTTCACAGTATAATCCTAGCAGTGCCTGCTAATGTCTGCAAATCAGACCGATTTTAAAGGCCCAGAAGCAGAGTTCTCATTCTCATTCTTATATACTTCGGTTTACTTTCTTCGTCAATGAAAAACAAGCTAGTATTTTCAGAACTACGATTTTGCCAAGCTAACTTGCTCACCCAAAGGATCGCTCGGTCTCTTTCTAAGATCCCTCTATATCCCATGATTCCTCGGGCACTTTTTTTTTTTTTACAAGGTCCTCCGATTGTGGGAAGCAGAGGAGGAGATGCAAAGGGAAAAAGGTGGAGCTCTTCCAAGTTACTTCTCCGCTCCGGGGCATGTGCAGGACATGACCAGATGTACATATGTTTGGCTGTGCAAGAAGAAGCTGTATTTCCAACCTTCCCTTGCAAAGTGCTGCTGAAGTCACTGAGTCTGCCCTGCCCACAGGGACACCCGGGGTGGAGTACTTCCATTGCAAAACTGCTCAGCTATTCAGCAGGCCTGGCTCAACGCTCAAGAGAGGCCACAGGCTGGGATCAGAAGGGGCGTTAAAGGAAGCAGAGCAAAACCAGAGTGGGACACAAGCAGGGCTTTTTTTTCTCACAGAACGCCCAAAACGGAGTTCCGGCACCTTTTTGGAATGGAACCTTGTAGGGTAGGCAAGGCGGGTTGTGTGACGTGTGTGAGTTCCGGCACCTTTTTTTTTTTTTTTTTTTAGAAAAAAAAGCACTGGACACAAGACTCAAAGAAGTAGGCCGGGGTATGCGTCCTGCTCCACATTAACAAATAAAAGCAGACTTCTCAACTAATTACCAGACTTTGATTACCGATAGTCCTCGACTTACAATCATTCGTTTAACGACTATTTGAAGTTACAACGGCACAGGAAAAAGTAACTTATGACCGTTTTTCACACATAACTTTGCAGCATCCCCACGGTCAAGTGATCAAAATTCAAACACTTTGGCAACGAGCGTGTATTTCTTTATGACGGTTGCACAGTGTCTCCGGGTCATGTGACCCCCTTTCGCAACCTTCTGACAGGCAACGTCAATGGGGAAGCCAGATTTACTTAACAACCGGGTTACTAAAATAAGATAAAATAAGATAACCTTTATTGTCATTTTTTTACTGTGGGCACAACAGCACACATCAAAAATGAAATTTAGTTGCCCGCTCTCAAAGTGAAACACATACATGACACACACCTACAACATATGTATAGACCCACACCCCTACATATACATAGCAAATAAATATTAAATACTGTCCATCTTGAATATATACTAACTTAGCAACTCCAGTGATTCTTTTAACAACTGTGGCAAGAAAGGTCATAAAATGGAGCAAAACTCACTTAAAACCATCTTGTTCAAATTGCGATTGCAAGTCGAAGACTATTTGTACATGCCTATAAATCTACTAAATAGAACCGGGATCTTTAATTTCTATTTTAATTTACAACCATAGATTGAAATAATGGGTACTCCATTGTTGGTACACTGTACCAAAATGACAAGCTTTAAATTTCCAACTAAAGCCATGGTTTAAAACAAAGTTTCACTTCAATAAATAAATGTAACAATGTTACCCTTACTCTTAGAGACAACAACTCAAATAAAATCTCAAAATAGGATAGAGACGGACTGCAATAAAATAAAACAAAATAGAACTTTTAAAAATATAAGAGCTAACTGGCTAAAATAATTATTAAACAAATTACAAGTTAGCAAAAACAAAAGGAATAAAATATTAAAAATAAACAGAATTAAATATCTAAATTTTAATTCAATTGCAACTAAAGGTTTGAGCTATTTTCGTGATGAGTCAGCATATTTAATTTTACCAATGAATGAATACAAATTTATTATCTATCATTGACTGTTATTTAGCACTGTAAAATACTAAGATTACATTTTTAAAATTCTATTCCAGCCATAAGATTCTAAATAGGGAAAACTAAACAACCACCTGGTAAGCAGGAATCTCCACAGACTTGGCCCTTTTATGACTTGAGGACTTCAACTCCCAGAATTCCTCAGCCAGGCATCCACAAGTCATAAAAGGGCCAAGTTTGAAGACCCCTGGGATAGAGCAAGACTGGCCTTTGATTTGCTAGGACAATGCTGAAAGAAGTTAAATTAAAAAAAATTAATGCCAATTTGACAGAAAAGTTAATACAGAAGGATATGTATTATTGATTCATTTTTTTCCAAGGAACTTGGGTATAAACCATTTTATATGAATCCTTTCTTAAAGGAGCTAAAAGTAAGACAGTTTGCTGGTTAATGCATTTTTTTTTAAGTTTGGGGCA